TCTTTCCCTTGCATTGCCCCCAGAGCAGATTTTTGCACTATTGCAGCGAACCTCAGGACGGGCAGGGAAGAGCGAGCTGCTGCGCCCTGCCCTTCTGCAACTGAGACGGCTTCTTTAGGAAGTACACCATCGGTTTTAAAACCCAGCGTGAGAAATCTAAACAAGCACATGTCACAATTTCAAGGTTTGGGGTTTTTTTCTTTTTACAGCTTGATGCAGAGAATTGTATTTTTGCAGAGAAAGGCATACAGACTAAATAAATAAGAATGCAAGTGTTATATTTTAGTATTTTTATATATTACATGTGTTGCCTCATCCCCTAGCAGTTCAACAGATGTATTTAAAGACCGTGCTTACAGGCAGATTTTGGGGAAATAATTCTGCTCAGATGGGTTTGCTTTTTGTTGCCACTATTATTTAGATGTTTATTATGGCAAAACATAATAGTAGCCAGTTTCTGCTTAACGAAAATATAGTGACAACAAGAGTTGGTTTTCTAATAACACTCTATATTAAAAAAAAAAAAAAGGGATTTTTTTTTCTCAGCAGTGCCTTGTAAATAGGCAGTTCAAGAAGTGTCTGTGAGGTTATAGCATAGACCTTCCTCCCTTCCAGCTGTTCCCAGCCCGTACGTGGTGCCTGACTCGTGAAGTGAGAGTGATTTTAGCAGTCCCCGATGGGTAGCAATTGCAAAGCCATGAGACGTTGCGACTTCTGTATGAATAAAGGCCTGAGCAACTGAGACTAATTAACATCCCCATTGATGGAAAAATTGCAGTTTAAGTTTAGCCTTTATCAGACAATGACAAATCTCCACGGGAGGGACCTGCAACACACAGAGCCAGGCGAGAGCGGACTTCCTTGGTTCTGCTGCTCGCAGAATTACCCCTCTAAACGGGGCCAGCTCTATGTGATACCCAAAAGTGCTCGGTGGATTTGCAGGTGGAGATGAAAAGAGACCACTGATGGACCAAGCTCATGCTCGGAAAAATCAGGGTTATGAGCTTCACCAGGTAGGGTACAACTTTGCAACGACGCGGGAATTTCCAAGGCTTTTAGGGATGAGTTACCTCCTCCGCACGCCCCGTCTCAGTGCTCCAGCACCTCTGTTCCACTAAAGCCCCCACCCCCTAAGTGTCTTCCCCCAGCCTGCCCCCCTGCCACAGGCCATCCTGCCTTGGCACTAATCTTTAAAAGACTTTGCTTTCTTGATGCGATATATTTATACTCCTATTCCATGTCGATCCCTCTTTACCATATTTCGTTATAAAATATTTTTACTGAGGGAGCAGCGGGAGCAGCCTGAAGACCACAGCTCCTCAGGAAGAGTTTACATGGCTCAGTTCAGAGCTGTGCCTGGATTCGGTATTCGGGGTATCTAATAGTGGCTTCTTCTTGTTTGTTTGTTTGGTCCCATCTTCACTATTTCTGCTTTGCTATTTTATCTTAAAATAATGTAAATCCAAGCACACTTTGCAAGCCTGGTCCATGATAAAAGAAGCACCATTTCAGCCTGATCAACCCAAAAAGGTTCTTTTTACTGGGTCCGCGATGGTTCCCAGCTGCGTGACCCCGCGCAGAGCTGCCCAGCTGCACGTACACTGAAGCCATCCATCAGATCAGCTTCTCTCTTCGCCTAAATTTGCTGGGATTATGTGCAGAAAAACGTTTTTGTTTGCTTGCAAAATAAAGAGTTGAGGTCGCCCAGACTGAATTCTCCCATTAGATGGCAGCAAATGCAGCAATACCTTCAAACTGCAATATTGCTGCTGCAAAGATCAGGGAGCTTGAACAGGGCCCAAAAGAGAGATCCGCGAAAGAAAAGGCTTCCCAGAACAGCAGGCAGAAAGAAATGTCTGTCTTATTCCACTAGAAATAATGTCTAGAAAAAAGGATTGAGTTTGTGCCCAAAGGTGTTGCATAAAACAAGTGTTACTCTGCTCCAAACCTCCCCTCCAAACTTGGAAATGAATTTTTCATTGCCAGGTTGAGAGAAACGCCAGGAAGGCAATAAAGCATGTTGGAAAACATGGTCAGCGTGTTGCATTTGAAAGCGTCTTTCACCTTTAATAATTCACAGTCCCAGCAAACATTCCCACTCCAGAATCAAAGGGACCGCTCATTTGCAAGCTGTTAAAGGCATGCACGAGTATTTGGAGGAGGATCGAGGTCTGGGATATTAATAACAACAGGGAAACACGTATTTGTTTGGAACACAGGAATTTTTTTAAAATCAGGTTGTTTCCCTTCGAGCCATTTGTAATTCCTCAAGGCGCTCCATGAGAATTAGAGGAGCTGCCAAGCCAAGATTGCAGAAGATCCCAGATACCGGCCCAAACAGGCGATTAGCACCGTCTCACTTCGATGCGTCCACCTTGAAAGCAGAGAACCCGGACGAGCTCCTGACAAGTTGGAATAAATCATCGGCCAAAGCTTTCAGTCCCCCAGCCACCGGGTCTCGGGTCTCGCCCGGCAGCATCCCCCGGCGTTTCACCCCACTCCCCTCGAAAGGCAGTAAAATCGGGATGCGAAGACCGTCCCGCTTCCTGCGCTGGGATTGACAGGGCAGGAAATTCAAACCTGATAAGAGGAAGTACTTTTTCTCGCAATGTTTAATTAAACTGCAGAATTCATCACTGCAGGAAGTTGTTGAGGCCGAGAACTTAAACAAGACTGAAAAGGGACCGGAGAGATACCAAAAACGCCTGTCACAGCCAACAGCTGTCTCTGAAAATACATTTAATTGCAATTAAGGACTAAAGCCTGTGTCTGAGAGCTGGGTGAGGCTGCGACCCCTTGCTCCTGCTTTCTTCTGAGCTTTTCATGCTGGGAGTGGCTCTGGGGACCTCTGCTTGCTCTGTCTCCCAGCCCTTTACTGCTGGAAGCTTTTCCTACACTTTTTAGGGCAGTGGCATCTTTCTTCTCCCCCCACTCCGCTGTGCATGGTCACTGCTCGTTGCTTGAGCTGCAGGAATGGGCATCCATATCCCCGTGGGGCTGGAGGTAAGTGGGGTTCAGGGGGGCGCTGGATGGGTCTCGTTGGGGAGCACAAATGCAGCTCAGCGGAGCTGGAGGAGGTTGGGGGAGCTGTGGGGGGATGCTGGGGACTTAGGGGGTGCTTTGGAGT